ATATATATATATATATATATAAAAAAATAAATATAGCTTCAAAATAAAGCTATATTTATAAACAGAAATAGAACTATATAGACAAGAAGACTATGGACTAATGTCAAAGGTGCAAAATGAAACTTGTAAGGCTAGAACTCGGTCTGCAACACAATAAAATTAATTCAAATATGTTTCTTCCAAATGTATACATGTGTTTGTAGGTATGACCAAAAGGATGTATGTTGAAACTGTACTTGAGGGTATAAAGCAGTGTAAAGAAGAAGGCTTGGATATAGATGTAAGGTAAATAAAGCCCATGGAGTACTTCTGTTTTGAGGTTTTGTGTAGTCTGATGCTCGGTCATGGTTTGCAGAGAGGCTTACAAACCATCAGTGTAGGAAAGAAAATTGTGCTTACCTTAGATTACGTGGAATGGAAACAGGTAATTCATACAGAACCCTGAATTTTTATCTTCCTTTTTAGTGATGGAGAATGAAACTGCGTAAAGCTTTTCAGCTCTAAGACTGTGCATTCTCTGCAACATTGTCAGGAAAAGCAATGCTTTTGATGGAAATTGCATTAAAGGCTCCTTTTTCACAGCCTAGATTTGTTGCAAAGATTTTGTTTGATTAGCCGTACAGGCAACCTGCTGTAAAGGAGAGGGAGTCCTAACGAGCAGAAAGATTTCAGAAGGTGTCAGTGGCTGCTTGGAGGCAGTCTGCTTGCCTGTTTTATACACTCAATAGCAACCCTTGTTAGATTTATTTGTGGAAGCTGAAGAATTGTTGTTCTTCGTGTGTGCACCTCAGAGAGGTTGCTAGCCTGATAGTGCAGGCAGCACATGAGCAGTGTATTGTTCCCTGCCCTCCATCTCACCGTGGCTGCTGCATTTCACAGGCTAACCTATTTATCTAATTTGTGTCCCTCTGTGCTTTGGTACCTTCATTCCTTCAACAGTTTCCTGTACAAATACTCTTTATACTCAACCATGAATGATGTGAAATGCCATTTTTGTTGGTATCGGATTTGTTGGTCTCCTGATACTACAGCTTGTGTTTAACTTAATATGTACATTTCTGTCCTAGATTGTTAATTGCAATAAATAGACGAGGTGGCCCAGCAGTTGCTAAGCAGACTGTTAAACTTGCTGAAGAGTTCCTTCTTTCTGCTGATGGGGTTGTAGTAGGACTTGACCTCAGTGGTGATCCCACTGTAAGTTTTTGTTTTATTTTGGTCTCTTCTTGAAGATAACTATATAATGTTGTGTAACAGCAACCGGTTCTAGTCATACTTTGTTCTTACACGTTTTTGTCCAATGTTTGTTGCTAGTTTGAATGGATTGCTCATAATCTTGATACTGGGTTAATCCCTGTTGCTCTAAGGGACAGATACTTTAACAGAGAATCAATAGATTAATAGATGACACTGAAAAAAGAACCACTGAAAAGTAGTGTTTATCTGAGAAGCGTCTGTTACTAAATTGTCCCAGTCAGATTGACTGGGTTGAGGCAAGTTAAATAATACAAGTTGATGCTAGTTTAAATTTTGTTTAGATGCACCAAATGCTTACTGTGTATTAAGAAAGTAAAAATGTTTGAGGATAGCTGTCAAGTGGAAATGAAATAGCTTTAGGCAGTAGTTGTAGAAAGGATATCAAAATCAAGACAATTGGCTCGTCAGTGTTGGGCATCATCTGAACTACTGACGTTTGACCAATTTGTCTAAATTGTGCAGGTATAGCAGAACATTACGTGACTTGCTGCATTCAAAACTGAAGTAATGGGAAAAGAAAAATAATTTAATGTAACTATATTTTAATTGTTTTGATATTGCTAGGCTTCTTAATTACTGTACTAGGAGGAGTTTTGTAAAACAGGCCATAGAATGATGATGTGTTTCCGTCTTCAAGGCAGGACATGGTCAAGATTTTTTGGAACCACTCTCAGAAGCAAAAAAAGCGGGTCTAAAGCTGGCATTACATCTTTCAGAGGTAAAAGTTTTCTTTATTTTGGTCCTTCTCTGTAATTCGCATTTTATAAAAACCTTGGTGAAACTAAAATTAACCTCTGTGTGTTTTGAACTTCTCAGGCCAAAGTAGTAATGGTTTGGGGTGTTTTGAGAAGAAAACAAGGAGAAATCTTCAACAATCTGTTCTGAATCAGAACTGTCAAGTTATTTCTTACTGTACTGTATCTATTGGAGGGTTAGGTGTGAAATTGAAAATTAGTGATATTCCAAGAGAGCCACTGTTTTCTTCCTGGTATTTTATCAGAAGTCATGTAATAAATTTCACACATTTTCCTGAGTAGTTCTGTTAGCTCTGCTTGTATTAGTAGAAAGAGTTGGGCTTCTCCATACAATCTGTTGAAGTGGTGGCTGATGAGTCTGATAAATACTGAAAATACTTTTATTTCTTCAGGAAATTAAGCGTGATATATGATGTCACAGGTCTATTTACACTTGTTTCTATTTGATTCAGGAGGCTTTTGCAGGATATTCCTGCATGCTTCTCTGAAAATTTATTTCTTAATATCTTAGGGGTCTTTTGGTTTTGCTTCATTGTTGTGTGTGTTTGGTTTCGGTCTCTTGCAGTTGAAGTTCTTCATGCACCTTTTTTTTTTTTTCTAGTCCCTGCGTAAAACAGGCGTTAAAGGTCTTCTTGACAACGTTGTTTTGAAACTGAAGCATACAAAGCTGATTTGAGGCCTCCAACTGAAAGCACTTCAGAACTGCAAATAGCGATTGTCTGTTTTTACATAACAGTTTAGAATTATGGCTTCTTCAGTTTGCAATTCTATGTTGAGAGTCACTTTCATGCACTACTTCTCTCTTTACAGGGTAGTAATGCAGATATTTAATCTCACTAACACTTTCTTTTGGATAAGATACGCTATGAAAATAGAACTTCATGTCCGTTGTAATTACTTAATGTGCTGGTTTATGCTGCCTTGACAGAATGTAAAATATATCCTCTCTAGATTCCAAATCAAGAAGAGGAGACTAAAGTTCTCCTGGGCCTGCCTCCTGACAGAATCGGACATGGAACATTTCTCAACTCTGCAACAGCAGGTTCAGAAGAACTAGTGCCACTTGTTCGACAGAATCATATACCTATTGGTAAGAAGAAAAGTTAAGAAAATGACTTGATGATCTCTAGATTCAGAATATCACACGTACTGCTGATCTAGTAACTCTGATTGGTCTTTGACCAGAGGTGACTTAGCAAAACGTGGCAGTGTGTGTGAGAGAATTGCCTGTAAAGGTACGCTTTTGTAGTTTTGACATATTTGTGGCAGCAGACAACAATTGATATTCTCAGATGAAAACAAAACTAAATCATAACTTTTAGTTACTATGCAAGGCTGTGTGGTGTTTCTGTATCTGCTTTGCAAGGTCACTAAATGTTATACCCAGGTAGTAGTTAAGAAGAAATTGATTACCCAACTTTCCTCAGAAGATATTACCAAATATTTGAAGCATAGAAAATTAAGAAAACAACAATAGCTGATTTTAATTTTCATTCAGGAACAGAAATAAGTCAATTAATGTGTCAAAAACATGTCTTTTGTTTTGATATATATCCTTGTTTCTTCTTTTTTTCTCTTAGAACTTTGCGTGACGTCAAACATCAAAACTCAGACAGTGCCTTCCTGTGACAAACACCATTTTGGGTACTGGTACAACATCGGCCACCCTGCAGTGCTTTGCGTAAGTTTTTTGATTTTAACCATGTATTTAGGCAAAGAGCTAAACTAGTGTGAAATTGGAGAAGTGTATCTCCTTTATGGATCAGAGCTGACTTACTAACAATGTCTGACCTTGCAGCGAATCATCTGCTTATAGGAAATCTTGTAACACAAATGGGAATTTTTAGTATTCCTCTTGTATTATTTTTATTATTGAGGGTGAACTCTGTTGTATTAGCTGACAAATAATTCATGACTAGAGATTATTTCTGAGATTTTCAATTCTGCAAAGTCTAGATAGCCAGCGAAGTCAACGTAAGAAAGCAGTTTACCCATAAAGGCCTATAAAAACAAGAGTAGTAGAAGAAGGAGATACTACAGTGCCTTAAGTTTAACAGGATGTAGTTAGCATTCTTCTGTGTGGGGACACAAGGACTCTGAGTTGCAGATAGGTAATCTCATTAACCGTTAAATAATCCTAACTTGCTCCTTTGAGATGAATAATCTTTAGGTGGCTTTCCATCATAAGTTTTTGATGCTAGCCTAGCACTTCTGTCAGTATCAAGAAATGGTTCTAGCTGACGCTAAGTGCGGAGGGTGAGACAGTTTCTTCCCTGAAGATGTAGGAATACAGAGTATGCTCTAGTTCCCAGATCTGAGGAAAGGGAAGAGAGGAATAAGGAGACCTGCACATACTGACATAGCTTGAATGTATGCATCATTTGAGAGACATCTTTCTAGCAATTTTAATAGGAAATCCTATTTTCTTGATAAATTGTGCCATCACTTTAAGTTTTCTTGTATGTTTGAATAATTCATTAATTTTGAGTGAAAATAGGGCAAATAAAGTAGGAAATAATTATCAACAGATGAAAGAACCGTGGAATAAAATGTGAAACAGCAAGATAAAAGTGGTTTGTAATGTGTAGGAAAAAACCCTTTTTGATGTAGAGGAACTAATTTAAACTTTTTTTTTCTTTCAATTTAACTCCAGACTGATGATAAAGGCGTCTTTGCAACAGATCTATCGCAAGAATATGAGCTGGTTGCAAAAACATTTAATCTGACTCGATCACAGATGTGGGATCTTTCTTATGAATCAATCAACTATATCTTTGCTCCAAGTGTAGTAAAATCAAAGCTAAGGGAACAGTGGTGTAAACTGAAGCCAACTCTGTTTGATTAATCAAACTGTTGTTCTAAACAGCTTGGATGTATTAGCTTAGTTAATAAGCATATTTTACTGAAGTCCTTGGCTTTTTTCAGACCTCAGGTTTACAAATCCAGCCCATAAACTACCTGTGCAAGATGAAGACGACAGGAATGCATCGTTTGTTAGTGGGGACAGAAGTAAATGTTCCTTCGTAGTTGGGAAGGGCTTTCAGCCAGAGACTAAAATTCCAGATGTGTTATCACGTTGCTGTCTAGTTGATATGACATCTAAAAAAAATACTTAGTTGAAATATTTCATCATACTACAAACACTTGAAAGTCAGAACAAAAAAATGGCACAGCTGTTGGGGTTTAAAATGTCTCTGTTGGCAACATTACGCCAAGCAGTTTGTAGGTATGGTGTGTATATTGCTTTTTGAATTGTTTTTAAACAGATGTTTTAAGCAATTGATTGAATGTGAAGACAGAAACAAACTCGGGGAAAATGAAGTGTTTGTCCCAAAGGAATTAAATATTGCATCTGTTTCTATTGGCATACATGTATGACTGGAGCCTGCTATGGATTGTGAAGCGTATGTGGTGGTGCCTGTTGATGCACTCAGCACTGGTAGTGTTTAGACAAAGTTAAGAATCTTGACTGCCTTGGCAAACTGTGAGCTACCTGGGGGAAGTGGTCTAATTCTTAAAGTGCTTTTTAGAATTGCTGTTTGTTTCTTGTAAAAAAGCAATAAAAATAGCTTCAACCTCCATGTTTTTGAAACCACTACTTCCAGGGCGCCTGTGTGTGTGTGCGTGCATGTGTGTGTGTGCGAGCTCTACAGCAGAGAAGCAGGTATAACCCCCTGCAGGATTTGGCGAGTGCGCATCCCCAGGGCAGACTTGCTTGTCTGCCAGCGACGCCACTTCTGTTCTGACAGCAGGCCGTGCTCCTTGGTCCAGGCAGTGCCAGGGTTCACTCTGCCTGTCTCTAGGCATGGGCATGTATATTTTGATAGTGAGATCCCAAAATATATATGAACATACACATGCAGCGGTATCTAATACTAGGTACTGCTAGCTAGCATAGGAAGTATACAGTGAGGTGGTGTTCCACACCTAGAGTATTTTTACATTGATTAATTAAACAAGCAAACATTCTGGCTGCTACAAGAAATACTGAATATAAATACAATGATACAAAAGCTCTTCATGACTTCTGTTCTGGTCTTTTTTTTACTACAATCAGCATTAAGTAGTTGTTCTGGCTCCAAAGTGACAATAAGAAACAAAGGGGAAAAAACCCCGAAAGGTCAGGGGGGAGGATAGCAAGTTGCTATGTCTGTCTGGCCACCTGAGGTTTTCACAGAATGTTTTCCAAGCAGAAAGCATGCCTTTTGGAAATGGGGGAAAATTATGTAAAGCAGAACTGTGGTTTTATGTATTCTTATCTGAACTCACAATAGGACCTCATGCTGACTTTTTATTTATAAACAGTACTTTAAATTACTTTCCAGATAGTTGCAGTGATCACATTATCTTTTCTGTTTGATCAAGTTGCATTATCACTTGCTCTTTGATCAAGTTCATCCGTAGTTTCTTTCTACAAAAATAATTACTATGGTAAATGTATTCTTTTTCCTTTCTTACTGAAAAGCTCTCTAAAGACGGATTGAGCAGCTTTCTCGAAGGTTATAGTTACATATATCTTAGTCTCAGGATAAGTGGGCCTACACTGAAGTGAGATGGCATTCTCTTGTAAAATAAGTTTTTAGATTTTTTTTTTATAGGTTATGGCCTTCTAATAACTCCTCAATTACACAGTATTTGGTTTATTAGTGAAGAAAAACTGTCAACTCCCTGTTTATATACTAAAGGGTCACACTCGGTGTTCATTTTATCTGTCAAGTGTAAAACTTTCTAAAGCAAAATGACTCATAACTAGTGTCCAACGAGACTTTTTACTTTCAAACTGTTAGTGTTACACAGAGGTAAGTTTGATTTTTAAGGTTTACGTGCTGAACGTGACATGTAGACGTGTTCATTCCGAGAGCATAGCCCTGGTAAATGCTGCTATTTTCAACTTCCTTTTTTTCCTGCAAGCATAGAGCGTCTTAAAGATTTTTAACGTTATGGACTACTACATGTAGTTCTCAATATTTCCATTTAATTGACTTCTGTGTGTCTCCAAAATACTGCCTTGCATCAGTTGTAGTATTGCCCCCAAACAGTCTGGCACATGATGACACATGGATGCTGCAGTTTTATAATTAAAACTTCCTTGATTATTGATGAAACAAGTGTTCTGGATACATAGTGAAACAGAGCTGTTATATGTACTCTAGGGTCATGGAATCACCCTTCTAAAGACTCTGGGCTTACCCTGTCACTTAGATACTTGCAGATGCACTGCTGAATTAAAAAAAAAAAAAAATCCACCACTTTGCGTTTAACAGCATTTATAGTGTCTTAGCTGGTAAGGGAGGTAACTTGGAGGATTCCATTTGTGTGAAGCAAAAGGACCAGGAATAGATTTGGGTGGCTAAAGAACAATACACAGAACGGGGGGATTTCTCTATATTGGTTTCTTTCTAACTATGTGTTACTGCAGTTATTTACACTGCAGAAGTGGAAATGAAGGTTGGAAAGGATGTGGAAAAGTTTTGCAATGAAAAGTAAAACTGCAGAGGTTCCTTCTTTGGCTTCAGGTAGGAATATAGTTCATTTTGATTTCAGCGCTTCTTGCTGAGCCTGATTGTTAAATTCAGAGTTAACGGTGATACAACCACTGTTTAGTTTATAATATTGTATAAAAAATGACTATGACATACAGGTGGAGTGAAGCATCACTACTGAAGTAACCACCAGTAATGGGGCAGAGGACCTTTTTGGTTTTTTCCCCTGAATGCAGTGGAAACTTTGAGTAACTATTTCTAGAATTTCCTATGGTGTAAGATGAGGTTTAAGTATCTATTCAGGTGCAGTTCAACTTAAAGTAAACAAAATAGATCTAGACAGAGTTAATACCTTCATTTATTTCCATCTGATTATATGAGATAACACTTACAGAACAATCTCCAATGCTCAGAGTCTTTATTCCCATCACATGAAAATACACACTTTGGTCCTACTAAACAGTATTGTCTTTGGAGATGTATGCAAGCAGAGAGCAACTGTTCACTACTGTAAGTTTCGGAGAGTTCCTTTTGAGATAAACACAAAAAGTCTTCAAAACCTCTATTCCTTATTAGGCTGGTAACATACCACAGCTTATCATAATATAACTGCTAAACTGTAAGTTTTTATTTGCTGCTCTTCAGTATCGTAGCTTTGCAAATAGTGTAGTTACATGAATGACTTATGCCTGTTTCAATATTTAGGCATTTCAAATTATACATTAAAAAAAAAAGGCAGCTGAGGGCATTGCATTAGACAAGCGCATGAGATAATTAAGGGACTGGCACACCTCTCGTATGAGAGGCCTGGAGAGCTGGGGCTGTTTAGATTGGAGAAGAGAAGGCTCAGGGGGCAGATCTCCTCAGTGTTTTTAAGTATCTGATGGGAAGGAGTAAAGAAGATGGAGCTAGGCTTCTCAGTGATACCCAGTAACAGGAAAAGGGGCACAAACTGAAACACAGGAAATTCAACCTGAACATAAGGAAACACTTTTTTACTGTGTGGATGGTTGACCATGGGAACACATTGCCCAGACAGGTTGAGCAGTCTCTGTCCTTGCAGATATTCAAAACCCTAAGTGACGTTCTGTAGCGGACCCTGCTTGAGCAAAGGAGGTGGACTGGACAATCTCCAGAGATGCCCTCCAACCTCAACTATTCTGTGATTCTGCAAAGTGACTATACAAATATACAAATGATAAAGTCTCTATAGGAATACAAAGTTAAATACTGACTTAAGTCAGTCACTGAAGTGACCATTTTTCACCAGGCTTAAACAGAAGCAGTTGACTGACTTATGAGATTGCTTTTAAAGAATAATTTATTCATTCTTCGTAGCGTTCCTTCTTTCACATCCATTGTGGAATCCTTTAGTGCCATCAGGACCTTTAGGCAGCCGCAGCACGCCTACAGGTAGACCATCTGCATTTTGTATTTTCCGAACCAACATGGGACTACTGATGGGACTCTTCTCTTGTGTTATGGTTTGAGCTTTTCTTCTCTGTACCCAGGGACTACCAGAAGGAGTGATACTGCTATCTGAGGAATCATCTGTACATTTGTGTGGAATGTCAGGGCTAAGCTTGCAGTCTTCAGCCAGCGGAGACTTTCTGATTACTTTTCTTAGTGAAGATGGACTGTTCCAAGGACTTGATCTGGGTGACACATTAGGACTCAAATGGTTGGTTGGGTGAATGACAGGGCTCAAATTACTCATAGCATTTGTTGCAGTACTTCTGCGTCCTGACAATGGTGATGTAGGATTACTCTCTGCATCAGAAGAGCTATTTGCTGAAGATTCATCTCCAACAAACTGAAGTTCCTCAACTCTCTTATTAAGGGATCTAGCCTTCTTAAGACTCTTGCTGGTATCTTCATCACTGTTCTTGTCTTTGGGAACTTTTTTCTTTGGAGGTTTCATGCCTATTAGGACAACTTTCATGCCAGTCTCTTTCTTTTCAGCACACATGAAGTCATGTGCACGTACGGCCGCATCTACTTCTTCAAATTCTATAATTGCACATTCCTGAGTTCCCAGTTGCGTGTACCGGTTGCTGACCCTCCTGATATCAGGTGGTAGATCCCTACCGGGCTTGAGAATACGAACTGATGAAATTACACCAAAAGTTACAAAGGCTTTGAGGAGATGCTCCATTATCCTTTCTTGCATGCATCCATTTTCTTGTTTGTTAAGAGCCTGCAGCTCAGAAATCATGTGGATATCATACACCAGTAACATCCTGGTAGGGAGGTTTTCACTTGGAAACACTGGAACTGGAGTATTTCTTCTAACCTTTTTGTTATCATCATTGAGTTCGAGAGTATGCGAGTACTTCAGTGCATAGGCTGTGGTTCTCCAGTCACGGGTAAGGTGTTTCACCTTGAAGACAGACACAGGTTAAGCAGCACAACTGATCAAACACGCTCAGACTAATTACAGAAAGTTTACCGCAGAGGCAGGCTCTAGTCTACAAACAGAAACCTGGATTTAAGTTTCATGTAGCAGACTTGAGTGAAAAAGTAAACACTTTCCTGCTATAATGGGCATCAATGAGCTCTTGTAAAGGTCACGTCCTGTTGAATCTACTCAGAATAGGAACTGACACTAAGTCACAATTGGAAAATCATTACTTTATCTTAATGTGTGTGATGTGTGGTCATTCCACATCTAGGTCTGAACATGAACGTTCTGTGGGTTTTATTTTGATAAATTTGCCAAACAAGTAGTTTTGCCAAGTTTAGGACTTCATTTTATTGAACTAATTTTTCCTCCCTCAAAAATCTCAGTTTAAAAAGCACCCAAACTTCTCCATTTCCAAGGAGTGATTTAAGAGTTTATCTGTTATCTGTAGAGTGTTTGAAGTGGTCTGAAGAAACTGGGAGTGCCTTAACTTCTAGACTGAATAGCTCTGCAAAACTGTTCGATTTAGAATCTTGACGAAGTGTATCTAATATAATTTTAGAAATCAGTTACATATACATATGTCCTGGTTTGGCTAAAACAGGGCTATTTTCTCCTTTCAGGCGTTTTTCTTTCAATCAAATCCCTTCTAAGTAACTGCACTTTCTGACAGCACAGCTACATGTTTTCAGACACTGCGTTTCAGGCCTGGTAACGCTCGATGTTTATAGTTGCTACTGAAGTATCAGTAGGATTGGTATGCAGAATGGCCCATGTTTATACTTATCCCCATGAGACACTGCTGGCCCCCCTTTGTTGAGCGAGTAAAAAGTCGTGACAGGGTCGCACCTGCGGAAGAGTGCAGACGGGACAGGTGACCAAAAACTGACCAACGAGGTATTCCATCCCATCCACGTCATCCTCAGTATAAAGCTAAGGGATCACGAGGGTCTCGCTCTCTTCTCTCATGGCCGGCATCCCTGTGGGACCCTGCTCGCTCTCCTTCCTCTGACCCCGACCCATGCATTCCTGAGTTTGGTTTCTGTCGGCTGCGCAGTCCGGTCTGGGACGTCCGGGTGTCCACCCTGCTGCGGCAGCGGCCGAGCCTCTGGGGGCTGCAGCCTGCAATCCCCCCACTCTCATCGGGACACTCGGTGTCGGTTTTGTATACTTTCCCTTATTTCCACTATTAGTACTACTAGTATTAATACCTTATACTTTTTTTTCCATCACTATTGTATTATTAAAGTAGTTTTAATTTCCAACCCATAAGTCTCTCTCCCTTTTCTCCATCCTTTCCCCTCCCGGGGGGAGGGAGGGGGTTAACAGAGAGCGTCTGCCGCCTGTTTTAAGAGCCGGCCCTGCCTTAAACGGTGACAACATATTTACATAGGAGTTCCCAATGTCAAAAGAATAAAACCCACCTCACCTTTAAGTGACTTCAGTTAGCAGATACTTTCTACTATTCAATTTTTGGATCTTCATACATTTGCAAGATCAGATTCACCATCCCTTCCCAGAGACAGGAAAATAACTTTATCAGGATTACTTAGCTACTTATGAGTAGGTGATCTAGAAATGAATTTTATCCAATGTCCCATTTACTATGCTCCACTCTCTCCCAGAATGATAATTTAAAAGCAGAGTTGCTTAAAAGCCTATGATTTCCCTGGGCAATCATGAATGACCAGCAATTAAAGTTCTGGATGAGAACAAACATAACCATCACATCAAAACTGAATCAACCCCTGAGAGAGGCAGATAAAGAAGACGACTGTAAAAACGCCTCTATAAATTATTCTCATTTCATCTCTCCTAATGTTTTTATATTCATCAGGCTTATACAAGGCACTTCAAGTCTTAAAAAGTTAGTTTACCTTCTTGAAAGAAGTGAGGAGTTTAACACTGACATAGCCCATCTTATTTCTTCTCACATGCTTTAGAAGGAAGGCATCTTTCTCAAGGTTTTCATCTGAGAAGTAATATTCAATCTGTGCTATTAACTTCTGGATCAGGTCCTTTTCTGGTGGTTTCCAGTTCTGGTCAGAGTCATCATCATTTTCCCCACCACTGAAAAACAGTTAAATCATTTATTAACAGATCTTCATCTTATATTAGTGGATTCAAATAGTTTTTCAAAATGAAGAGGCATAACTGTAATGCTGATTCCAACTTACTTTATATGTAGACCCTGAACAGGTAATCACCCTATCCATCTGAGGCGGGAGGCCAGCTCAGAGGATGAAGCTTTCCAGTCAGCGTAAGGAGTCAAGTTCCTGAGCTCATTCCAATAGCTGATCTCAGTGTAGAACAATGAGACATGTACACTAGCATCTTGAAAACACTCTGTCAACTCAATTCCTACACCAAAACCTGAAATGCAGGCGCATAGGCACTTGGTGCTATACAAAGTTCCTCCAGTGACAAGTGTTTTATTTGTCAGTATGAAGCTATTAAATATAAGCTTGACATTTATGTGCTTCGTGAGTAGTGTCACATACCAGTGAATGAATATTCCAGCTTGATGCCATCATGACTTCTCAAGCCTCTTCACTGCATGAATGCAGGAGCCAGTATCCAGGGCGTAAGAAAGACTGACAGGACCATTGCACGTTTTACAGGTCACTTCCAGAGTGACACAGTAACTCAACTAGCAGTTTACCAAGGAGCTTAAACTGTATGCACGTTTCAGATTAAGGACTTGGGTGCAGGAGCAGCTTGTGTACCTCAGGAACAGCTGTATATGCACACATACGCAGGTTGCTAAGAAGTCATTCTCATTTCCACTCTCCCCCTCCCACCATGTTATCTAGGTATCTGTGCAAAATGGAGCACTACTGAGCATCCTATCTCAAAAAAAGCTACTGCAACCATGGATTTGAGATAAACTTCTTGCCACATACACTTACAGCAACACGTTTGTTGCTGAAATAGAAACCACCTTTTAAATTATTATCTACCATTGAGGCAAATAGTTCATCCACAGACTACAGCCATAGATGTTGCTGTAACAGCTATAATACACAAGTCTACCTTAAGCCAGAGTAATTTTTTTAAAGCTGTTAGCAGTCTAGTTTTGCTGTGGAACCATCATGGAAGTTTCTGTTAAAAAAAAAATAAAATCATCTACTAAGCTCCCTAGACCCTATAAATCACGTATTACTTTGGTCTTCGTGGACCTCAGCAACAAAAAAGGAGGAGCCACACGTTTCCCCAAAATTGTCTTAAATGGCTTTTGCAGAGCTTGTGAAATCATGAAACAAGGTAGCAGGCATCATGCTAGAGTCCCCCAAGGGCAATGTGGCAGGGAGGATGCAGGCTACTGAATCACCTTGCCTTGTGGCAGTTTTGTCCCAGAGAGGAACCGGAGACTGTGATCTTAATGCTGACCGACATGCTGCCCATCCCTGGGCGCAGGCAGAAGCACGGCCTAGGCAGGTGCTTGCTGTACGTCTGAAGAGATTGCTCAGGTCAAGGGGCTCTGCACAGGGAACACGCTCCCAGGTGTGACAAGTTACAGCAGTTCTCTGGGACCTGGCTTTTTGAAGCTAACAGTTTACTTAATATGGTTCTTCCGATGATAGGGCAACACATCAGATATACATGGATACTCACTCACAATACTAAAAGTCTTGTTAAAATCTCCCATGTGACTTAATGGGGTACAGTTTAAAGGAATGACAGAAGTGACAGAGCTAGGAAAAGAATTTAAGTTACTTGATAATGCCAGACACGGAGGATGATAGATGAAGTTATGATTAAAATAGTGAAAAACATTTAATGGCCAGCTCTGGGTGCTGGTTTCAGAAGGAAGAAAAAACAAGGTTAAATGTTTATTTTTCATTCATGGTATTCCCTTACCCTACTACTTCTCATTTCTCATTCACTACCGATTCAGAACTAGTGTGGGCACAAGAAACTCAGCATTTTTACATATCTATACTCTGCTAAGAAAAGCTTACCCTCAATTCAGGATGGCGCTTACAGGTGTTTTAGATGATTTATTAGCACAGACATTTACAGGTATTTGGAAGGTCTGGATGGAAAGAAAATGGAGCATCATGCTTAGGAAGAAAATAAAAATGAACTGCATGTTTGCAAAGATCAGTACCATCCTTCCTTACAACGTTAACACACTGAATCGGGTGAAACAGGTCTCATTTCACCTCTCAAATATTGGTCACAGTCTGAACTATACACCATTTCTATACTGGGCAGACAGTTCAGCTTTTACAAAATCTTTAGGGCTCTTAGAACAGCCCTCACTAAGTACTGTATGGAAATTCCACCTACAGCAAATGCAGAAATTTGTAACTAACTCCATATTAATTCATAGTAAGGATCAACGGGTAGTACCTCTAGGGTATCAACTCTACTACAAAAGTAGTAGATAAATCAATGTCAGTCAACATTGACCAAAAAAAAGACTAGTAGTTATTCACAACTTTCACTTACTTAGTCTTTATTCAGTTTTGTGACAGATATGCTTGTCTAAACAGTTAGGATGGATAGACTGAAAACCTTTTAACAGGGTGACTCATCTGGCTATTAGTCACACACAAAACTAAACATATCTGCATAGAGAGCAGATTTTGGGGTTTAAATATCAAAACTCACAAACAATATATTAAATTGTCTGGATAGAGTCTAACCTTTTTGACAAGTTTTTGCTGAGTCTCCAAAAGAATAAGGTATTGTATTAATAAGCACTATGTGGCAATATAACTTACAGCATTAAGTTGATGTTCCAACAGTAAAATTGCAAGTCTGTTAACAAGAACTAGTGGATACAATACTGGGTGCCTGCTAATGGGACGTGTGGCTGCAGCAATCACTAAATGTCAACTTCTATTGTGAAACTTTATATTTTAGACTGACAACATCATAAAAACATTCACCTTTCAAGCTCAGATTCTTCCTGTGTCTGTCTGCATCCAAAATAAACTTAAGTTGAGCAAAAATAGCTTTACTTTATGCACAGGAGAACCCCCTGTTTGTTATCAACACTGAAGATTTTTCTGAAGCACCTGGCAGCTAAATGGCTGAGGACTGAATGTCACAAATACTCTGCGATCTCCTGAAGAACTGTGGCATCTTGACCATGGGGAAATGGTTTTCATTTCTTAAGTTATAAAAGGTAGAAATTGAAGAAAAAAAATTTAAATTGTCTGCTAGCTTAGCTGGAGAATGAAATGGCTCATTCTCAGCAGTTTTAGACCATCAGTGACAATTTTCCCAATGTTTGGGTAAATAATTTCCTATCAGATATGGCAGTCCCAAAAGTAAACCCTTAGCTAAAGTTACATGTAAATGGCAAAAGCATGTGTGAACTCCACTCACCTACTTTTGATGCAGAGCCTTTATAGTTCTCTCCATGGCAATACCTCTGGCCTTTCCTGGATCAGGAAGAGGCCATTTACAAAAACGAAACACAAGAACTGAATATACATCAGCAAACCTTTCTGAAGGAAGCGCCTACTCTAGAGGACTAAGTAAGCGCCATTTAAGAGCTAGCTATTATGTACTACAAAGCTTGAAAAAATAACCACCCTTTTTTCTAGCCTGGACCAGGGCTAGCAGCTCTTATACAAGTAACGTTGTCAAAGAAAACAAATGTAAAAATATTCTGAATTTAAGAAATCAGTAACTGGAATGCAACACTGTAGACCGCTGTACACATTTGATTTAAAAAATACAACAGTCACACATGATTGTGGAAAGACTAAGCAGACTCAGTTTAAACATTTTACTTGTGTCTAGCTATGCTCACCTCCTGTTTCTGTAATGCACAGTTGACAACTTTGGCAGCTGCAGAAAATTTCCCCCTCCCCAACTATCCCTCTATAATTTAAAATAATGCATTGCAGTTCATTCTGAGTCAGTGCTAGGATATGAAGTTAGAGAATCTATTAGAAACAATTGATCTTCGAACAGAATACTGAATTCCATGCTACTGTACCTAAATCTTTATGTCACTGAATTTATTACTGTATCTGCAGCTTTAGTACAAAACACAAGATGAACTTCAACTACTGAGCGTTGTGTCTCTGTAGCTTTCTGGCACAAAAATCCTGGATGTTCCTTTTACAAGTCAAAGATTCTGGCAGGCATCAAAGCAACTTCAGACATCAGTAATAATTTGCTGCTTATCATTGAATACAGACAACGCTACTGGCATTATCAAACAGTAGAGTAGATTATAAAGTGGTCGTTTCTTCTGCATTTAAACTGGTCTTGATTTCATGTCTGGCCAACTTGTTTCCAAAGCCATAGAACAGGTCTGCTTGTGCATGTCTTAATTCTACTAAAGAAAATCTGTACTGTTCTATGCAATAACAAGCAAACGGGGGAAAAAACAACAAGCGAGCCAGAAACACAACCACCATCAACCCCAAACCCCTTTCTGTAAAAAGGCAGTGAAATGGAAACGGCGGGGGCGCCACGGCCCGGCGCCTCTCGCCGTAGGCACGCACGTCCCGCTCCGCTC